TGGGGGGGGGGGGGGGGGGGTTGATTTGGCCTTGAATTCTCTGCTTAGGGCTAGCTAAGTCTCAAGCTGCCCCTGTCATGTAAAGCATTTCTTTACAATATTTCCTTTATTTAAGTCAAGTTGAGCCGTGGGGCCTAGAGTTGCCAGCTGGAGCGGATTTTACAAAATTCGGTTAGATAAGGTATATTCAGTAATGAAGACTAATGTAATACACGCTTCTTAGAGAAACGAGAAACAATAGTCAGTTGAATATCTAGCCGGGTTCTTAAAAACGGTACCGGCACTAGACCTCTTCCGTCACACCTTTTTAATTTTTTTTTAAAGATCAAAAACCCTCTCTCAAGGTAACCAATATAAAAGCTAATGGTCAATCACTCCTTATTTTCTCTTCTTCTTCTTCTCTCACTCCTCGTTGTCTTTCTATTTCTCCCTTCCTTTTGTTCACTAGTGTGATTTCTTTCTTTATGGAGAACAAAAATAATAAGAAAAAAAATACCCTCGTTTGGTTCCTTTTTCACTCAAATGGCTGCAAATTCTGTTACCTTTAATTTAAAAAATCGGATAGATATAAATTAAAGATTTCCGTCATTGCAGTTTCACAGAGCTACGTAAAACTAGTTTACAAACATGAAATATGTAAGGAAAGGCAGGCAGGCAGACAAAGAGAAATTCATGTATCTTTGGAGTAGACAAGAATAAAAAATTATACTCACGCTCCTTCAACAAAGTCATCTCCTGGATTATCCAAAAGCATTTCTGTTGTGACGCTGGTGTAGCCATGTATTTTAATATAGATGTATGCGTCCGTCGCAGCACCCGTCTTGTCAGAGGTAGCAACTTCAGTATAGTACACTGTCATAAAGGAAGGTTATATCAAAAGTCAATAAAAAAACGTCCAATTTTGTGTAGTATTAACTGCAGAAGCTTTTTCAAATTGAAAGAAAAAAATCAAACTAGGTACACTAAAGGCCCATTTACACGACATTTATTTTGGGTCCGGCACTCCTAAAAATGGCCACGCGGGCCGTTACTTTTGGCACAGTCCGCCTGATTTTTTGCCGTGTAAATGCAATTTTTCTGGCACACAGTCCGAAAAAAATCAGGCGTTCCTGGACCACCTCGGGAGGTGGTCCTGGCCCGCCTAAAAAGTGGCCCGCGTACTCGTGTATCCGCCATTTTTTTGTTCTTCGACTTTAATGTTTTTGTACAACCCGCGAAAAATTATGCTAATCCTTTGCTGATCGATAAGTGCGGGTGACTTTTCGAAGGAATTTTATGTGAAGGCCTAGGGAACCGCTTTAAAAATACCTGGTGGCTCAATACTTTAAGAGTGCCTTTCCTTGTTCGGGGTGCCTGCTCGAAATCAACGTTGAAACAAATCGACCTTATTTTTGTCGTGTAAATGACGCAGGCCGTGCCCTAGATTTACGGCTCGCGTGCATTTAGGAGTGACGGCCCCAAAATGAATGTCGTGTAAATGGGGCTTCAAGCCCCATTTACACGACACTGACATTAGAATTACAGCACTGATATGACAATTACTTACAAGTGAATTTTATCCATGTGCCTGCCTTTATCCAGTCAGAGAAATTAAAATTCACGTAATTTGTTTCATTTGAGCGCTTCCCTTCAATCTAAAATAGATGATATAGAAATGAATTACTACAGCTGACGAGATACTTCCTATGCAAGGTATAAGCTAAGCGAACCATTTATACCAAGGCTGTCCCAGAGTTAATGGCGTGTATTGTCGCCATCATCATCATGCTTATCATGACTACAACTATCATTATTATTTTAAATTATGATTGTGACTATGATTTTTATTATTATCATCATCATCATTACTATTTCTATTGTTATCTAGCTATAAAAAAAATGTGAAGAAACCTTTCTTAAAAACGTTTAAGGCAGTGTTAAAGAAAGTTTAAAAATATTCGATATTTCGACGTTCTCGGACGTCATTATCAAGAGAAAAAAAATACAGTATAAATGTTCTATGAGTACAAACCATATTTTTCGCGGAGCGAGTTTATAATCTAGTCGCTCGTGAAGCGTGAGCCGCGCGTGGTCTTAGCCAGGTGCAAAATATGATCGCCATAAATCTCTCTATGAATATATGCTTGGTCTCCGCAAATGACGTCATGTAACGCCACGTCATGGAGCATTTTGCGTTCCAGACAACATAGACTTTGCCGCTGATGACCAACGCATTCATGTATTATTCATGAAAGGCTCATGTAATTGTTCATCCATGAAACAATCATATACAATCGGTGAATCACGAGCAATTTCCCACTTAGATGACACAAAACAACAAGCACAACAAGTGGCTGAAATCCTCCATTATCAACCGAGACTCCTCCGGAGAACGCCGACTAAAATTCATCACGAGCGGAGAAGACGACGACAACAAGAAGCCGCGCGCAAAGCACAAAGAACATCGCTTAGCACAGCGAGGGCAACTCGTCAACACAGCGACCGCAAACATGTCCAGAGGCAGCGACAAAATACTACAATTACACTGCAAAATTTTCGTTTACAGTTTTTATTACATTTACTTCTCAAAAACCATCCCAAGTAAAAATATATGTGTATGATTAGCAGCTTAAACACAGCTGTGTCTTTTAAGTTAAGCATGACAAAAATTTCTTGCTGGCCTCCTATTTTAGATCCTGTTTATTGGAAAAGAATTTCTGTATTTCGGATCTCCTCGCAATATTAATGTGTCACATCTGTTACAATGCCAGGAAAATTTGATTCTTTTACCCGTAAGGGTCAATTTATCAAGTCAGGGAACTTCAGTATAAGTCCGGGAAAATTGGACTCTTTCAAAGAAGTCAGAGGGAGGTAAACGTATTTCTGCATATTCACCGAAGTTAAACATATTCCATTAGCAAGATATTGCTTCCACAAATTAAACGACAAGCAGGTATAGGGTTTCCTATAAAATCAGTCCATTCTGTGCTTTGCATTCACAATCAATTCATGTAAAAGATGGGTGGCGAGAATGGTTGTGATCGGACTTTGGGCATTTATTTTGAGTACCGGACACAGATGACGTAAAACAAAAGAGCAAACAGCCTTGAAACAATAACAAGCAGATTTTCCCTGAACAGAAAACAACGAAGTCTTTTGCTTTACGTCATCTGTGTCCAGTACACGAAGTTTTGAGTGGAATTTGAAAGCCATTAATATCTGGACAAACTGTCAATTCATTTGGTCAGGGAAAGTGTACATTTGCCTGTCAGTCTGGGAATTTTTAAAAACTATTCCTCTGGCAGCCATGTCTCAACAAGCTCATAGATGTTGAAAATTGAGAAACTGATCATCTTCAACATGACTTGTATGTGGACATTTCAAGCAAATTCACTATTGCATAGGTATTTGTTTCTCATGCATGTACATAAATAAATGTGAACACTTTCATAAACGATTTGGTATTCTTTACAGGGATAATTCAGTGCTAATGAGGATACCGCATATTCAATAATCATCATAATCACAATTCTCCTCAACTGCATCCTTAATGACATTGCTACATGTAATTTCTATTTCAATGTAAGTGATTACGTTTGCACCTTACTGTTAAAAACAATTAGTTGTCAAGTGTGATTATCATACATGCCAAATCTCCCGGATACGACAACATTCTTCTCCCGTAAGAGTCACCAAATCTCCCGGATAAAATCGAGTTATGAGCTTTTCTGTGCTTTAATTTGGAATTTATCCCATTTTCTCCCAAAATTCGATTTTTCTTTGATTCAAAGTTTGGTTTCTGGAGCATTTTCGCACGTAATTTATCACTGACAAAGATTATTTCTCCATTACAATCACAAATACTAATTGTGATGGTTCTGTCCCCCATGTAAAACTTCATATAATTTCCTAAGTCGATTAGGGACTGGATCGAATTGTGCTTATGGGTTGGGGGGAGGGGGGGAAGGTGATCATTGATATTCGGGGCGGGGGGCGGCGGGGGAAGCAAAAGAGAGAGTCTCCAGATTTTAGATTTCCAGAGGTTGGCATCTCTGGATTATGTACTACAACAATAGTGCAAACACTCTCATTGATCTAGCTCCCTTAACAATAAATATTTTTCCTCAATTACCTGCATTTACTTGTTATTTTCACTGCACTACTAATTACCCACTTCACAAGTAATTATTATTAAACTTATTATTAAAGATGGCCTGGGTTAGCTGTATATTTACCTCTCTTTCGCGCAGTTATTCACTATCACACCCATTTTCTTTTGACTATTCATAACACATATAGGAGGGTCAAATGGGGCGAACACGGGACCTATGAAACATTGGCTACCCTTCCATAACACTGACCAACCCCATTAAAACCCCAGCACATCCTTTTTAACGACAGATCACTGGGTTCAAATTTACTCGAACCAAGATGAGATTAAGTAAATCTCACATTCCAATATTCGAGCTAGTGTTGAAACCGGCCCTCCCAAGCTACACAATTTACTTCGATTGTCTCTCTCCTTCCATCCCTGACATTTTATGAGCCTCCCCTCCACAGTTACACGTATTCCTAGCAATGGTGAAATTTATGAGGCCAATTGGATAATCAAGTCGGGAGAAAATAGAAACCCGTGTTTAAAGAAAGGCGACCAACAATGGTCTGCTCTTGCATTTTGAAAGCCATGTAGACAAACGTTCCAAAACCGGTTTATTGAAGACCATGTTACATCGCGCCTATGCCCTGTTATCTACGACAGAAGCGTTTAATGAGGAATGTACCAAGTTAAGCTCTATATTCTCCCGACTTAATTATCCAATTGGCCTCATAAATTACACCATTAATATGTTTATTCACAATATTGCAACTAAGCGAGAAAGATAAGATAGCAGCTAATGCAGTCCGTAGGCAATTGTCCGGTCTCAGCCATAAGATTGCCGTCACTTTACAGACTGTTTTGTGTGTGTGAGTGTGTGTGCGAGAGAGAGAGAAAAAAAAATGGAGCAAGAGCTTGAACAGATATAAATTTCGCCGAGTATTTTGAGTCAGCCGTGCTTTATTTAAAAGTTGGCGTGTAAATAAATAAATAAATAAAAAAAACTTTAATGGCTTTCACAATTACTGGTTTGCCAAGTAGTTTACATTGTGGGGCCAATCTACAAAAATCTAAAATGTAAAAGATATAGGAAAAGGAAGTTAGAGGGTAAAAATTGAAAACGGTTAAAAATAGCTACCTAATTAGTACAGTACAATCGAGATACAAAGTGAAAAAGGTACCTTAAAATGTCCTTAATACTGAGATGTTTGCGACTTGCATTAATGTTTAAGAATTTCTCGAGCAAATGTTTCTTAAAGTTATTTTCATATGTCATGTTTTACGCTTGTGTGTACTTTTTGGCACATTTCACTTTTTGCGATTGGTTGAGCTGCGGGTTCTTATTTAACCCATAGAAATTACCTCAGGAACTGTCATGGAAATTTTGTGTTTGTTTGTTTGTTTGTGGTTGTTGTTGTTGTTGTTGTTGTTTTCTTTTTCTTTTTTTTGTATTTTTGACGCATCCATGAAAATTCCCCCCAGGCAATGTCACCTTGGAAAAAGTGGTCACACACAAAAAGTTGCTTTCCTGTGGGCAATAGCCGTTCCATGCCCATTGGTAAAAAGGCTAGTATAACCACACCTATTGTGCATTTATCACGTTAGTTCTTTACAGGATCCTGTTTAAACAAGCGATAGCCAAACTGGACGTTCCTACCTAAATATAATTTTAAAACATCAAAATGCCTCTTGTGATATCAGAAATCACTATAAAAGGCATTTATGACATTATAATAAGTAATTACTCACGTAGACAAAAGACCAGCTGGGATTACTGACGTTGTCGCCAGTCTCTGTTAACATGGTATCGAGTTTGACTTGCAACCCAGTCACACTTCCAACATCTTTAGCACCTCTCGAAAAAACGTCAACACTAAAAAGACATCAAAATCGGTTACTACGCTTCGCCTATGAAAAGGCCATTTCCGACTTCCCCCGGGCCTCTGTTTCAAAACGAGGGTAGGTGTTCAGCCTGTGATATCGAAATCAGTTTTCATTCCCATGCAAATAAAACTCATTTTCACAAGAAAGGTTGTGCACCTAGCCTCATTTTGAAAGTGAGGGTTTTTGGAACTCGAAAGTGGCCTATTATTACATTAGTTTTAACTGCAGTGAAGTTCGTTGTCTGTTTTTCTTCACAATCACGATCATAAATCTCGATATGACTGATAAATAATTTGTTACACAATTCTTCAATTCATTATTTTAAAATTAAACGGTTATGAATCCTGAAAGGGCATAAATTATTCTTAACCGTGAGGGGATTGCCTCAACTTCACAATTCTCAAACTTACTGAACATTGATCTTTCGATTGTTTTGTTTTTGTCATGAAAAATAAGTTAACTGTTGACTTCGGCTTTCGTAAGATTTGAAAAAACAAAAAAACAAAAAACAAACAAAAAACAAAAAAACAAAAACGAAAGAAGGGGGGATGGGTTGGAGAGATCTCCAAGATTGGTCATCCGATTCTGCAGCAGTAAACTTTGACAAAAAACACCCACCCACTCCACCGACTGTACTAGTGTCAACGAGGACATTATACTTACGCCCCTCTTTCGAAGTCATTTCGGGATTGATTATCCAAAAGTAATTGTGTTGTAACGCCCATCTTGCCATGTATTTTGATAAAAACTTGTGCGTTGGTCCCAGCATCCATCTCAGTTGAAGTTTTAACATTGATATTAAATACTGCCATGAATGAATGTAATATCGACAGTTAACAATTACATCCATGAAATATAGTTCTACATGGATTTATAAAAACCGGGTTAGCAAACATTTTGTTATTGTTCTCGATTTCCCCTGTCTTAGCTTATTTACTGTGCTGTTTGCTTATGTCGTTCATTTCGGTTGTTTTGTTGTTAGGGATTTGTGTAGTAGTGGCTGTAGAGGGAATTTCGCGAATTCTCGTTCTTTGTAACCCCTTCCCCTCTTACCACTAGACAATTTTATCTGTTTAACACAAGTGACAGTTATTCGCAGGCCACTTAAGGCATGACTACCTAATTAAATATGCATATTTTAGAAAATGCTATTTAGAGCGGTTTGCTTCAATCAGTGCTCTTGAAAAGTGCTACAAATGTGGCTCAAAGAAAAAAACACGTGAAACGTGATTTCAAATAACACGTGACACCGCTTCGTCAATGACGTAACAAAACACGTTTTCCTAAACGGGGAAGGGTTGCAAACCTTAATCTTAGGATTTTCACCGCCAAAATGTTTCTTAAACAGTGAAAATCTTAAATTCGGTTTGTATGATTGGAAATGTTATTTATCCTATTAAGCGTTCTGGACCACCTCCGGAGGTGGTCCTGGCCCGCCTAAAAAGTGGCCCGCGTACTCGTGTATCCGCCATTTTTTTCTTCTTCGACTTTAATGTTTTGTACAACCCGCAAAAAATTATACTAATCCTTTGCTGATCGATAAGTGCAGGTGACTTTTCGAAGGAATTTTATGTGAAGGCCTAGGGAACCGCTGTAAAAATACCTGGTGGCTCAATACTTTAAGAGTGCCTTTCCTTGTTCGGGGTGCCTGCTCGAAATCAACGTTGAAACAAATCGACCTTATCTTTGTCGTGTAAATGACGCAGGCCGTGCCCTAGATTTACGGCTCGCGAGCATTTAGGAGTGCCGGCCCCAAAATGAATGTCGTGTAAATGGGGCTTCAAGCCCCATTTACACGACACTGACATTAGAATTAAGGCACTGATATGACAATTACTTACAAGTGAATTTTATCCATGTGCCTGCCTCTATCCAGTCAGAGAAATTAAAATTCACGTAATTTGTTTCATTTGAGCGCTTCACTTCAATCTAAAATAGATGATATAGAAATGAATTACTACAGCTGACGAGATAATTCCTACGCAAGGTATAAGCTAAGCGAACCATTTATACCAAGGCTGTCCCAGTGTTAATGGCGCGTATTGTCGCCATCATCATCATCATCCTTATTATGACTACAACTATCATTATTATTATTATGATTGTGATTATGATTATTATTATTATCATCATCATTAATTTTACTATTGTTATCTAGCTATAAAAAATGTGAAGAAATCCTTTCTTAAAAACGTTTAAGGCAGTGTTGAAGAAAGTTTAAAAATATACGATGTTTCGACGTTCTCGGACGTCATTATCAAGAGAAAAAAATACAGTATGAATGTTCTATGAGTACAAACCATACTTCTCGCGAAGCGAGTTTATAATCTAGTCGTGCGTGAAGCGTGCGTGCATCACGTGAACCGCGCGTGGTCTTAGCCAGATGCAAAATATGATGCGCCATAAATCTCTCTATGAATATATGCTTGGTCTCCGCCAATGACGTCATGTAACGCCACGTCATGGAGCATTTTGCGTTCCAGACAACATAGACTTTGCCGCTGATGACCAGCGCATTTCATTTATTATTCATGAAAGGCTCATGTAATTGTTCATCCATGAAACAATCATATACAATCGGTGAATCACGAGGAATTTATTTAGATGACACAGAACAACAAACACAACAAGTGGCTGAAATCCTCCATTATCAACCGAGACTCCTCTGGAGAACGCCGACTAAAATTCATAACGAGCGGAGAAGACGACGACAACAAGAAGCCGCGCGCAAAGCACAAAGAACATCGCTTAGCACAGCGAAGGCAACGTCGTCCACACAGCGACCACAAACATGTCCAGAGGCAGCGACAAAGTGCTACAATACACTGCAAAATTTTCGTGTACAATTTTTATTACTTTTACTTCTCCCAAACCATCCCAAGTAAAAATATATGTCTATGATTAGCAGCTTAAACACAGCTGTGTCTTTTAAGTCAAACATGACAAAAATTTCTTGCTAGCCTCCTATTTAAGATCCTGTTTATTGGAAAAGAATATCTGTATTTCGGATCTCCTCGCAATATTAATGTGTCACATCTGTTGCAATGCCAGGAAAAATTGACCAGGAGCACCCAACGAGAATATAGTTCAAAACCACTTAAACATAGCATTGTTAAACGTATTTTAGTATTCACTAAACTGTAGATATAGGTATATTTTTATCCCCTAAAAATTTTTCATCTGTTTGGATCTCCTACTCCGGTGAATTAAGGAATGGGTCTTCGTTAAATGCGGGGTTTTATGACTTGATATCTTTTTATCAAGTATCTTCCCTTATTTTAATCTTAGACCGCTGTGTTAAAGACCAGAACCACTTTGGACCTTAAACACTCCCTTTTTAGATCAAGTGACCAGCCACGCCCATAATTATGCAAAATTTGGACTTTGCAGATTACACCAGTTTACTGAATGTGACCACAGTCGTTTTTCCTTCCATAATAATTCATTTGCAGTCAAATAAGCTAAATTAATCGGGGATTTGTGAAATGATCCATTCCTTCGTAATTATTAGATATTTTTCTCTCGTCCCAGTCTCCCTCTTAACAAGAAACGTTATAGCTTACAAAACGTAGATAATTTAAGAAAACCCCGATTAATTCCATAAAAT